GCATTAATTTCTAAAAGGGACAAATTTTAAAAAGAAGATCAGAACGTGTTGAGAACTCACGCTGTTGTCTTTGGGGAATGATGCTATTAAGAATTTTCAATCCTGAAATCAAATAAGATGGCTAGAAGTGACAATGCTATTCACAACAATGCCATTTATAAAAGCAAAAACAAGGTTTCCCTGAGTCTGACCCCCACCTTCTCCTCCCTGTGGTACAAAGGAAGCTGTGATGATGTCGATGTCAGCACAGTTCATCACAATCTGATTTGTAGCTTGTGTAACCTGTAAATATTGACATAAAACACGTCAACTTAGACTCTTTGCTGTGCCTTAATTTCTACATTTTCAGTAAATCACAGCAGCTGCATCCAAGTATCAGGAAGAGTTCAAGTTTAATTTTGGAACTACATCAATGGACCAAACCGTACCAGTGACTGTGAATTCAAATTGAACCTGTTTAGATTGCAAACACAGCAAATCTAAGGTACAGATAAAAAATACAGCGTTGAAGGGAAACAATAGTTAGTGAAGGGAAATGAAAACAAAAACACAACTAGGGGACTCCGAGTTGTGTGCAAAAAGCAGACGTTAATCCCCAACATAGAGGGAAAACCACAAACATTCACAGTTTGTGGCAATGTTATTTAAGATACATGGAAGCTGAGAGCATACAGTACTTGTGTACAAGTTTGTTTGTCTACCAAATCTGAACTGGTCATTTTACCAATTAAAAAAAAGCAAACTCTTTAAAGGCATTCGGAGTCTAATTTTAATGGGCAAACCATGTCACAGTTAATCAGTTTGCATAAAAACCCAAGTTGTCGAGGATTCTTCATGGAAAAAACTGTACCTGTGCTTCGCTTTTGCAACAACACCTTATAGAATTTGCGCACAATTAATGGTTGGCTATTACGTCATGTAAACATTTGTTGTGTTGTTTTTCCAGGTTCCCTTTTGTACCAAAGGTTTGCCAGTGTCTTGTTAATCTTTTTAACAGATGACTCTTCCTGACAATGAAGCACTTCACACTACCATTAGTGGTGTAAGCATATCATAAAGCATATAAGGTTAATCTTGGAAATGGTGCATGTTTAGACAGCGTCTGTGATCTGACTTGATTGCTGTGAAAATGTGCGTTAAGTAACTGTTTACAACCAGGCGCAGGTGTTAGCACACTCAACTAACAGGTGCCTGGACAATGGGACCATTTATACACAAGTTAAACAAACAGAGTCGCCTTTTCCGTCCTACATAGTATCCAGTCTACAAAGTACAGCCATTTTATCGACAGATACAAGTGAGCACAAGATACAGTAGCAAACATACTGAAAGGACTTTTAAAACTTTGTCATTTTACTGTCCTCACGGTTTGTGTTAATGTACAACTTCACCTAGTTCAACCGTATTAGTGGGACTGGGGTGGGAGGGGGCTACACGATGTTGCCATGATTTAGCAAACACTAGTGAGTATTGGCTGGGTGCTAGATAGCGCTCTACCAAATTCGCGAATCGCCACTTATTAAGTATTAGTCTCAAAAGCAATGGGATGTTACTACAAGAGGTTACCGTCGCTGGTATTCACCAAGCTCCTCAACTTAGCCATCTGCCAGTGGCAGGCAGTGCGCTAACAGATAGCTAGGCTAACATGAGAGTGCAACTCTGCGGCACGGGACTGTTGTGCTAGCTAGTCCGGATCAGCTTACTGTTAGTCACAGAAACATAACGTGGTTGTTTCTTTTTCATCCACTGGTTTAATTCGGCCAAATTGAGCCCGTCAGAACATTTAACACGTTGCAGCTTACATTAGCTAACGCGTGCAATAATGACAGCTAGTGGGCTAGTGGCTAACAATTTGTCGTAATTAGCTAGCAACTGGTAACGTTAGCTGGTCAGATTACATAACGAGATCCCCGCCATGCACAGATAAATCCATTTGTGTATCTACGGGGGTGTCGTGGTCAACATACCTCCACCAAAGCCTCCAGCTTGCCTTCAAACGTGAAGTCGATCAGGTCAGGCTTCAAAGACAAACCATAGTTGACGGGGTAAACGTCAGTAGGTAGCCGTACGAAGGGCCTCCTTTCGGGCATGGTTCCTATATTTTGGTTGCTTGAGCTCACGAAGACGGTGCTGTGTGTAATGCTGGCTATCGCTCTGAGTTTTATTAACACGGATCTGGCTACAACGAGCCTCGACAGTGAGGATTGGCAGCAAGTAGTGACTCTGGGCGAATGACAACGGAATCGTGCGGCCCAGAAGCAACAACATCAATTGAAACCCTCCCAGCACTGCCAGCTACGGATCTCTCCTCTCACAGCCCAAACAACTCCACTAACCCTGCGTCGACCTACAGACATGCGACGTCATCACGTTCCAACGTACTCACTGAGCGTGTGTGTGTGTGGTCACGCACAAACTGTACATACACGCGACAGTAATATTATCAATTTTATACAGTTTCATGCTTTTTGTGTGTTTTCTGTTTCAGTATATTAATTTAAATCCCTTTCCCCCAGCGAAATAATGAACAAACTGAAATTTGTTACACATGTTTGTTGTTGATGTTGATATTTTGTTGTTGTACAATCTGGGACGTACCAATCAGATCTCAGCACATGGCTAGGATCGTTAAATGGACATCGAAGATTAGAACAACTTTTAAACAGGAGGTCTGTAGGTGATCAGCATGTAATCAAAAAGTCTGACTTGTGGCCATTTGTTTAAACTATCAGTACTGTCATTACACTGTTGACTTTCTTGATACTTAAGAGATTCCTTATCAAGTAACAGCGTTAGAAAGATATGATTTATAGCAGAAATATGAACTCTGTGTTCTGTATGTCAGAATTACATGTGCACTAACATGTGACAAAGGTTCTTAATTAACAAACATGAACAAAGGTAGCATGTCAAGTTTGAAGTCTCCTTCAATTGTCATTTTTCTGTGGAAACACAACTTTACTCTCTCAAATGTTGCCTTGATACGTTGTTCTCTTGTCAGTGTCATTTTACACAGCTGTCAGCTGTGAAATCCCTAACAAGCTGGCCACTATATGGATATTATTACAAAGTTTCATTTTTTATTTTCAAGAAATACTTGTTTCAATGTATCTGGCTATACTTGAAACATTAAAAACCAAATAACCACTGCAGTGAGGCCATTTACCCAACTCTTTATAAATGCTTATAAGTCAGAAATTAAGAAAAGTGTAATCTCACAAATATACAGGAATCTTCATGATATCAGCAATCACTCAGCGAAGTACATAAAAGAAAGATGGGGGGGGGGGGTCTGGTGATTATAGAAGAAGAATGGCAATATCTGTATGGCCAGATATTGCTGATGTTCACCATTGAAGGAATAGATGTTTAAATGTTTGTTTGTTTGTTTTTAATTAAAGTAACATATACTAATGCTATTTATGTCACCATCTGCTACTGAGTGTGTTGGTTTTCGACTGCCCTCTCTCTGGATGTATATAGTTACAAACTACATCTATCTGTACTTATGTTTGTTTGTTTTTTGTTTGTTATTTTCTTCTCTTTTTTCTCAAACCTGCGTGAAGGAAAAGTACTTGACGTGATGGCAGACACCTAGACTGCTATGCTCCCCTGTACTTATACGAGTCTTAAAACTAAGGAAGCTAGATGATGTACATTTTATTTTATGCATAACTTCAATAAACATTTAAAAAAACAAATGTAATCTGGTTGTTACCATATATAATTACAAGTTTTCTTTAAAGTACATTACTGGAACAATAACAAAGAGAATAACACTTTGGGGTGTTGTTCATAAGAATGCACAAAAACAACATGATGGGCCGGTTGGTCAGCAGAGTTTTTGTCACAGCTTAAAGTTGAGTTCACACTTGAAAAGACAGAGACAAATATTTGGTCACATGTTCAGTCAACCCTGTGCATGTGAACAGAAGCTTGGGACAGATGGAATGCTATAGAAACCCCACAGACAGAAACTTCTTCAACAACAACATTCAAGACCTATAGATTTCCAAAGAATGCAGCACCAGAATAACTGCTGAAGCAGTTACAGTGTTATGATCAGAGGTGTAGTTATGTAGATCTTTCATCTTCTGTTACAGGCCTGTTTACCAGTTAGTACAAAAATGTTGTATCTTATCTTGGTTTTCATCATATCAGGCACAAACAAAATCCCCGGTTTTATGTCACAACATCCCAGTTTTTATTATAATCCTCCAGGTGCTCATAAACAACTTTATCAAGATTAAGATAAGAGCTTATCCAGCTTTTTGAATCCAAAATAAGATTTTTAATTTCTCACATGTAACCAAGATACTTGTATCCACAGTATTGGGAAGGTTACTTTTCAAATGTATTCCACTACAGATTACAGAATACATGCCCCAAAATGTATTTTGTAACGTATTCCGTTACGTTACAAAATACAGAGTAACGTATTCGGAATACTTTGGATTACTTAATATATTATCATGCTTTTTATAACTACATGAATGTACGATTGCTGTGTGATTTAATACTATTATTGAAAGTTACTTGCCATACCAATACCAACTAAATCTTAATATAAATGAGTAACAGTAGGTGGACATTGGGTAAGGCTGCACTTTTTGCAGCGATCTCGTATAGAAAACTATTCCGTATATAAAAACAGGTCCGCTACATTCGGCTACATTCTTTAGGGATATGCCTGTAACACTCTGCCTTCATATTAAATAATTTTTTGAATAATACATTTTAAAATATTTCTTCACGTCATTATGAGTAGAGGTGACATTGGCCGCGAGATTGAGACACAGGCCCTAGAGCCTCTTAATGTGATTTGTTTGGGTTTCCACTGGGGTGACATGACCAACAATAGCGAAGGCATATATGAAAAAGGAAAAGACCGCCGTGTATTTATTTTAACAAGGAACTGTATTCTGAATACCACCCGTTTAAACGGTAACTTTAACGGAATACAGTTACTCATATTTTGTATTTTAAATAGGTAACGCCGGTACACGTATTCCGGTACTCCATAACACTGTGTATGCATGTATGCGTTAAGTGCCTAACGTTGCTCAGCCGTTTCAGAGTATTATTGTTTTATTTTGAAAGAGACAACCGGAAGTCTATGACGAAAATCCTGGCAAGATGGCGATGCCCATGAGGAGGACTTTGGGGGCTCTTCATAGAGCGATTTGTAGCAGTTTAAAGGTACTGTAACGTTTACGAGCACAGTGTTGTAGAAAGGTATACAGTCGAAATGTAGAAGAAGCAATTCGTTTGATTTGCTTCATATGAGTACTGCCCATAATCCTGCACTGGCTAGCCTCGCTAATGTTAGCTAACAGACAGAGTATGAGCATCCACATAGACACAGGGACTATTTACCTTTAAGTGATATATATATATGTGTGTGTATATATATATATATATACACACACATACACACACACACACACACACACACACACACACACACACACACACACACACACATATATATTCTCTCTCTCTACATATATATGTAGAGAGAGAGAATATAGATGTGTGTGTGTGTGTGTGTGTGTGTGTGTGTGTGTGTGTGTGTGTGTGTATATATATATATATATATATATATATGTAGAGAGAGAATATAGATGTGTGTGTGTGTGTGTGTGTGTGTATGTGTGTGTATATATATATATATATATCTGCTTGCTTGCTCAGAGGTGCTCTTTTTTTAACTAAAGAGAGACTTTGTGTTCATCTTGCTGGATGAAACAATACTACGTGGCTTGAGGTTTTCACTGTGTTAAGTATTTGACAAGATTAAGATATACAGATCACAACTTCACAGTAGTTCAATATAAACTAAAACGCGTGGTATTCCAGGCATGTACACCTGTGAGGGAGGCAAAATATTAGAAATACCTGTCAGGGTAAGGGGCACAGCCCTCTCGGTATTAAAGATAAAGGTGTCTTTTTGACAGTGCAGACAAAAGCTGAAAGTGTTTAGGTTTTGTAAAAGTAGAATTCAGGGCCAGTGAGTTTAGAGGATAACTGTGGTGGTTAAACACATATTTGTCTCCATCCTCTTAGAATGCTGAGACGTCTCTGGATGTGCAACATCCCATTCCACTTTACCTGCCGGTCCGAACCAAAAAGCGGTACTTTATCCCTCCAGCAGTGGGATTGAAGGGGAAGAGGCAGGAAAACACAGAGGCCAAAGCCCGGGCAGCAGGCATCGTCTTCAGGCAGCAGTACTTTGAGAGGCCAATCAATATCGCCTGCACTGGTAAAATGGCCCTTAAAATCAGTGATATGCATATAAGATGTTATTTCTGAAGCTAGAGCACGTTGTGGTCATTAAGTTTTTCATATCTACCAGTACGGTAGTGAATAATGCTGGATATTAGCACTCCTCTCCTAGGAACCATCTATTGTCAAAAGTAAGCAACAGTGTTGTTTTCATGCATATAAATAACCTACTGTGAACATCACCTCAGAAATGTTTAAAACTATTGAAAAGACTGAGTATCTTCAAAGAAGATAGAAGTTACACAAATGTAAACCAGAATTGAACCACTTAGAACAAATAAAACATCCATGGTAGCATTTAGGATAATAAATGCTATAGCATGCTGCAAAAAGCATCAAATGCAAAGATAATTATATTAGAAAAGCCATAATGAAGTAAAACTAAAAGGATTCAGTTGAGAGATATGCTTACGTGCTTCCTTACTTATCACTTATCGGCTAAAACCACTCAAATCAAAAATATATGAATGAATAAAAAAAACAAAAAAACAACAACCCTAGAATTAATAACAATTCAATTTCAATTCAGTTCACTTCAATTTATATAGCACAGAATCATAATAACAGTGACTTTATATTGTAAGATTAAACCCGTACAATAATACAGAGAAAACGTCAACAATGAGATCACCTCCTTGGTGACAGTGGTAAGGAAAAACTCCCCTTTAACAGGAAGAAACCTCCAATTAGGCTCAGGGAGAGACAGCTACCTGAAAATAATAATTGTAAAAGAAAAAAGTAAATAATTTTTGATAAAAGTGAATGAAGACATCTAAGTGGCAGAAACTATTGTAACATAAAAACAGGCATTAAAACCATTCGATGGAAAGTTAAACACCTCTGGGATTAAAGCAAAGGGAAACGATACAGAGATAAGTTGGAGGACATCAACTCTATTTATTGTTGCGTTTTATAGAGTTTATTATAACACTTTGTGTAAACATGCACTGAAAAATTGTGCAGCATAACAGTAAAGTGAGGAAAAACCTTTTTCTTAATTCAAGGGCATTATGTTTAAATAGTTTTAGCTTTGGGAGCAAGTTTTCATTAGCTGGCTGTTGAATGTAATCTGTAGATACAACATGAAATTAGGATCAGTAACAGATGTTGTTGAAAAGGAATCTGGCGTGCTGAGCTAACAGTTCACACGACCATTCTATATTTCATTTCCTCCCTGCTTCAGACACAGGAGTTCATGTTATAGAACTGTTTTTAGATAAGTATTCAATATTTTATCTTTACATTTCTTTTACTAATTAGGTGTTACAGCATAATCATCGTCTTTACATACAACAATTGCTTGTATAGAGAGCATATAACTAGACGTGGTAAAGGTTAATTTTCTGCCATATTTCAGTTGATAAAAGTTCTGGGTAAAAATGTGAAGATGGTCCTGATTGTTTCATTTGCCCATAGCTAAGAAAAAACAGAGATTTTAAATCCCAAGTCGATTTTTAAAGATAAATGTATTTTATTAGAAATGCGAGAATCTCAGCGTTTCAACTGCCAAACAGCTTAAACAGCAAATGATTAAAGAGCAGGGAAACTGATTTCACAAAAAGATGTAAACACAAAGCGCAGCCCGACGACACAGACGTGTACGTGTCGTCGGGGCTGAAAGCCAACAGCTCATAGATTCTGAAGCTGCAGGTTTTATCGCTCTCCGACCAAAATTCACTGAACCAGCAGCAAAAGAAGATCAAAACTATGCTTCGCGTTGACAAACGTTGCCATGAATTTTCTCGTACTTTTGCTGTTTTGCTGCCCCAAAATAAAATCGCACTCCCTGCACAGGTCTATCTCAGCGTACTTAAAGACCAGTTTCCCATCAAAAATCTCTGTTTTCTGCATTTTTTGGTTGCTTGTTATTATGCACCAGTCTACCGCTGTATAAGGTGCTGTCGGACATTTTTTTTTTTTTAAATCCAAAATGACATCCGGCCTCATTTCTGCTGTTCAATACCGAAAGAAATGTAAACTTTTTAAAATTGTGTCTCTGACAAAACCTCTGTAACTGTGTTCTGTTTCACTTCAGCAGCATCAGGCAATGTTCATATGGTGATTCATGGTTTTCTCACGTTTTTGATCTACTGCAGAATATTTTAAGGCGGTTATCTTCTATAAAAAGCCAGGCCTGGAAAATCCCCTTCATGTCTGTCTGTGGTTATTTAACAAAAATTAGAAAAATGTATGTTTATATTTTTATTATTTAATACTAAATGTATTTTATATCCAGGAATAGGTGCTATTAAGTGTCCTGAATAAGATGTCAGTGCTACACAGACGCTAAACAGAGGGTTTTAGTGCTCCAAGTAGGGTTATATATTGTTCTTGCTAAATCAGTCAGCAGGAATGATTTATTTTGAAGCATTTCCCTGCTCGGAGGCTTCACACTGGCTGATCACTCATGTCTGCTCTCTTTACCAGCGGGGATCTTCGACCCCTACATACCCCCGGAGGGTGATGCTCGTCTTTCCACTCTGTCTAAAGAAGGCCTGAAACAACGTACTGAACAGATACGACAAAGTGCCGCCTCACAGCTGGCGTGAGATTCTCTTCTTTGTGTCTTTGTGTTGTCGCTGTGCTGATGCTTTTCTTTTCTGGATATTTTTGAGAACGATTATCTTCTCAATCCAGCTGCTTAATTGAATTCATTGAATATCTTATGGTGAACTAACTGTATTCTTGTTCTTTCAGGATTCGTAAAATCAAAGAGCACGACTCCGTGTTCACAACAAAGGATTTTGCAGAGAAAGCTCAAGAAATCTTTATTGAGGCTCACCACGCCCTGACACAGTAAGAAAATAAACCCCTGTCTCACCTCACGTAGTCAACTGACAAGGAGTGTTTATTACTGTGGCACATTTTTATAGAGGTGAGAGACGCACTCAGGCAGCCTTCAGCTCTGATAATGAAACAACCTGTAGTGATAAACAGGTTATCGTGGTAAGCCAAAGTACATTACAATGAATTATGATAGTTATGATGCACATTTACAGTAATCAAACCTAATCTGTAGACCATCATCAGACACTTCATTAGGTACACCTTTTTAGTACTGGCTTGGACCCCTTTTGCCTTCAGACCTGACTTAAAGTCTTTGGCACAGATTCATTGACCATATCGCCGCACAGTTGCTGCAGAGTTGTCGATTGCACATCTATGATATGCATCTCCCGTTCCACTACATCCCAAAGGAGCTCCATTAGATTGAGAGCTATGTGAGTGCAGTGAACTCAGTTATGTTAAAGTAACAAGCTTGAGATAGTCAGAGCTTCGTGACATGCGTTACCCTGCTGGAAGCAGCCATCAGGAAATGAATACCCTGTGCTCATAAATCATGGATGGTTGTGGTTAGTGAAGATACTCGGGTAGTTTAAACGTTGAGCAGTTGATACTAAGGTCCCAAAGAAAATCCCCCCATATGCTGTTACACCAAGAACAACCTGAACAATACATGGATCCATGCTTTCGTGTTGTTTATGCAAATTCTGACTCTACCATCTGGATGCTGCAACAGAATCTGAGACTCGTCAGACCAAGTTTTTCAATTTTGGTGAGCTCGCCTCATACGAACTGTAGCGTCAGTTTTCCTGTTCTTGGCTGACAGGAGCGGCACCCATCTGTAACCCATCTAATTCGAGGTTCCACATGTGGTGTGTTCAGAGAGGAGTACTTCTCTAGGCAAAAATGCCTCGTTGCTGGTAGAGGACAGAGGAGAATGGCCGGACTGCTCACTGGATGTTCCCTGTAAACCTTGGAGATGATACTGTGGGGAAATCCCAGGATATCAGCAGTTTCTGAAATACTCAGAGCAAGCGACCCGTCACCAACAAGTACACATTTGCTCAGTGAGGATGTTTTTTGGGGGGTGATACATTTTACTAGCTGTATATGAGATATATGTACAAAGATACGAGAGGCTGATGCACAGTAAAGCAACGTGTCATGAAAACTCTCTGGCTTCAGTTTTAGAGATGAAGATTAAAATCTTTCGTCTGAATTTCAGGTTCAACAAGGAGAAACTTCACTCCTTGGTGACTGAGAGGTGTTATCCTGTAAGTTTATCCTTTGATGATCCTTGAGATAATTCAGTTCTTTGTTTTATTGTACTCAACCTTCGGTTCGGCTGCATTGTGTTCAGGAGATGACAAGGGGTAACCGATACAAGACGATCTGCTGGAGGTTTGTGGAGTCCCTGGAGCCACCCAGAGTGGTCCATGCTCGCTGCCCTGACATGGTCTCCAAAGGCAACCTGTATGGGCAGGTGACGGTTCGCATGCACTCCAAGCAGGTACAGTATAGTATGAGTATTTGTGTGTGTTGGTGTTTTCGTGTGTGAGATTGTCCAGAACAGTTTTGAGCAAGTACATTTTTCAGTGTTTTATTATAAGTTTTATTCCTCACTCACTGAACGTGTCCCTTTGTCAGACGGACACGAATCACTTCTGAGATGCTGCTCCCTTGTTTGACATGTTTCTATTTCTAATCTTGTATTTTATTGGACTCTCTTTGAAAAACTGTTCTGCGTATGTTATCACATTGCCTTCTGCTGTTTGGTTCATGACAGGAGCATAAAGAATTTTATATTGGCTTGTTGAAAGATGACATACCAACGACCTTTTTTGCCCTGTCAGTACATAAAACGAGCAAAAGCAGGTTTGATTTTATTCCAGAAGCCGTTTGACTTGTGAACACACACATTGTAAGGCTGCATGTCTTTTTTGCAGGTTTCGATGTTGTTGGTCAGTTACTCCTTCTGTAATTCAGCTCTTATTTTTAACTGTCTGGCAGCTTTCAAATGCCCCTTCTGGGACAAATTTAATATTTTCATGTGAGCTGAAGTGAAACCAGTAGCCCGGCAGCCAGTTTTTAGAGTTGCTTTGGAATCTGTGTGTCCCACAACAACTGTGTTTGTGGAAGTGATGAAAAATCTAAATCAAACGCAGGGTTAGGTTTGCGTTCATGTTACAATTAGTGTTAAGACGACTAATTGAATTTACCTCTGTCTGTGTCTGTGTGCAGACTCTGGCCATCTATGACCGCTTCGGGAGGTTAATGCTGGGAAGCGAGGAGCAGCCGAAGGATGTATTGGAGTACCTGGTCATAGAAAGGCATCTCATCAACCCCTACGGCCGGTGGCGGTTACATGGAAAAATAGTGCCATCTTGGGCCCCTGCCAAGGATCCAATTATTAAGGTGACCCTCTACTCTAAACATTTATCTTTTAGTAAGAAAAAGGCAGAGGTCCAAGGCTCTCTCCCTGTCAAATGCTAATTAAAATACTGTTATTAACTGGCCTGTTCATACTTCACTTTAATGGGCACATGAACAAGGCAGACAAAATCTGTTAGCTATTGCAAGCTTTGATATTTTTTTCTTTCTTTGCATAAATATAATACATTTCTGTGTCCTTTTTGAATAGCCTTCAGCCTTTCTTCTATAAAAAATAAAAATACAAAACGTTTCACCTTACACTAAATTTTATTCTGGACCTCTATCATGAAACTGTCTCACTTTTCAGGGTGCTGTATTCTGCAGTTTAAGCTCAGTTTTCATGGACCTGGCAGACTAGAGCCTTGAAAGCACACACTACTATACATTTCATCTATCCAAAATTAGTGTCACACTGTAATATAGAGCACCAATGAAGACCAAGGGAGCACTTCCATTCAATTTTAGCATCTTTCTAGCTGTCACAGACGACTAAACGTAGCTAATATTACAAATGCTGCCTCTTCAGTGACTGAAAATCCACGACCCTGAACAAAAATGACAATCGGCAGTCATGTTAAACAAGCTGTTTAAATGCATCTTATATGTGTGGCTTCTTCTGGCCTTACTCAACAAAGAAAACAAGAAGGGCAGTCAACTTTATCTAAAGGATATCCACATTTTTTGACATCTTCAGGGGAAAAAAAAAAGCTCTAAAGTCAGATAGCCGCCTCGTCAATTGTTATCAGAGGAGATGCTATTCTGCTGTTTGAGCTGGATCTGTTCTAAATACTTCGGGAGATGATTTCCTTGTGTCACCCCAATTCTACATTCATACAACAAGATGAAATTAGGCAGTCGTAGGCTGCATCATAGCAGGTTGAAATCTGCACTTTTTACACGGCAGACAGTCGTATTTTGTATGTAAAATGTAATTTGTCTGAAAAGATAATGCAAGTAAATACAATTGCAGCTCTACTGAAATATACTGTAGAACAGTGTTTTGAGTCAAAGGTAGTTAATAATTACCACTCCTGTCACCTGGAATTTAAACCTGGTGATCTGCTGCATTAAGGTGAATCTGTTACAAGTTGCTCCCACACGAGCGTGTCAGGGAGATTCAGTAAAGAAAAGGCAAACCAGGAGGTTGTGTTAAGTCTACAGAAACCTTTGCAAAGCGAGAGTGACACAGGAGTTGGCTTGCATTAAATGCATCACTGCTGAGAACTGAGAATGTAATCACCTTAAATATGTGAGTCAGTCCCTGCTGTGGCTCAGATATATGTGGCAGATGGAGCTGTAATGTTGCCTGGAAGGTGTTTTTTACCATCAGCATCAGAGCTCTGCAAAAAAAAGCGTTAGTCATACTGTCAAAAAACCCATGATGTGATGTGAAGATGATTCACTAAACTCCTCATTCTAATTCATCTGTCGATAAGAGATTGTGGTGATCAGCTGTGAACAATTAGTGTCTGTCTCTTATTTGGGCTTCAGGGCAAGAAAGCAAAGGAAATCTATGTCAGTATAATAAAAGGAACTATGCCTCAAGTGATGTATCAGAATCTGATCAGTCTTTACTAGAGGTTCATGATAACATTGGAATAAGTTACTGTATATACCTTTTATTCTAATACTAATATTCTAATGAATTCTGATTCTAGTATTTAGTCACTAATTGAGACATTTGTGACAGATAAATTATTTTAGCTTTGATCATACAGGTTAGTATGTGTCTGCCTTCTGTCAGTCACAATCTGTCAGTGAAACGCCTCCTTGCATTTTGTCCATGAACTCAAACCAAAAAAAACTTTCCCCCCACTGTGATAGAGAATCTAAAGATTGTTTTCAGGAGAAAACATTACAGGTAAACTAGAGAAGTTTATTTTTCTTTTTATGAAACCTTTCTGCAGTTCTGATCTTAAACGTTGATTGCTGTTGGAACAAAATATGCCAGCACACGTTCTGCAGAAGGCTTTTGGACTTCACCAACATTTAAATAAGATTCCACTTTGTTTTCTTCTTCTAGACGGTCATGATTCCTGGTCCAGAGCTGAAGCCAGGAGAAGAATTTGATGCCCTGAACTATGAAGTTCCTAAACCAGAGGCAGTACAGTGGTATAAATGAGCCACCAGGGGGCGCTGCGCCTTTCATCGAACCACAGGCGGACTGTGTTATTCATGGGCCAAATGTTGTTTAAAAGTTGGCTGTGGCTGGTTATAATTTGTCCACTTCGGCAGGAAACCAGGCTTCCCTATGAGGCTCGTTTCTGATTGAAAAGAGGCTTTGGTTGTTGAGGCACTGGAAGCAGCAGGTGAATTTTAGATACTACTGCACAGAAAGCCAATAAAACCTTCTTTTCATGATGGTTTTGTCTCAAACTTATTGTTTTATTAAATTGATTGTGCACATGTAAGAAATAAAATGGTCAGATGTACAGAAATTGAGTAATTTATTTCTGCGATGGATATACTCAGGAAATATGAGAAAGTGTCTCACCTGGTTTTCTTTTCACAAATTACTGTTAGCACAAATCAAGATGTGTTACAACTATATATATGTGTGTGTCTACAATTTACAGTACACTCATTAAAAAAACAACAACACACAAACATTGCTTACAAAACTAGGTCAGTCCACTGACAAAAAAAAAAGACTTGGAGCCAACAATTGGAGTTAAGCAATAAAATCACTGTATGACACTGTAGCAGCATAAAGTCTGATGATAACCATCAATGAATTTCAAACAATATTTGCTGGCATGGACATGCAGCTTAATTACATCTTAACTAACAACTGCTGATATTTAAAGTCCAGAATTTACCACATATTACTGTTTTTTTTTTAAACTTGGAAGCTGACTCTGAAATCTGTGAGCAGTGATTCAGAACTTAAAGTAGCATTCACTAATATCACACACTGAAATTAAAAGCATTGTTTGATGTGAAGAAGTGATTAGCGAATGATGACCATCTGATAATCATAAGATGTTGTCTTTAAAGAAAACATATTGTCAAGATCTGTTAAACAACCAAGGAACATTTACTACTGTGGTGCAAACCACTTTTGGCTTAAGTCATTTGTGCTTAAAAACGTAATCAGCCTTATCAAATAGCTGCAGTGTTTTCAAAAGGTGATTACACAACAGCTCTGTGGTGATTGCAATGTTTTTCATATGTTTTTCTTTGACTCGGAGTTCAGATTAAGTTCATGCACTGTGTGAAACAAGCTGTTTGATCTTTCTTTCCTATCTTTTTAGACCATCTTCCTTTTGATTAGTTGCTCCTCAACAACAGAAGGTATAAACAGTTGGTGGGTGCCTGAGGTGACCACATTAGGGATATCCCCTCCCAATGATATCAAATAATGAGCACAGTAGATAGAACTGTCTGAAACCAAGCTATTGACTCACAGAATAATTTTCACACACCATTAAAAACTTTGTGTTCAAATATGAGCAGCTACCACTGTGGCAGTGAGCATGACCGAAAATGAAAGCATAGTCGGTCCACTTTAATAGTAAACACTAGTTTTTAGTCAGGAAATGAGTCATCCAAACAAAGAAGTATGCATAGTTTTATCAATACTTTTGAAATGTAACTGTGTCCATTGTATTCCTGCTTGACAGTTTGTATTTTATTTTAGTTTGAACAAATGATTTTTTAAGACATTTTGAGTTGTCTGGTGTATATTTATATGGGGCAGGAGTATTCCAAAGTGTCGTATCTGTAGACACCCTGTGTTGTACTTTTGTTTGAGAGTAGTGCTGACTTAACTTCAGCTTTTGTAATAATTGTAGCTCAGCCATCAATATACTGATCTCATGGCAAAATTGAGTGACGTCACTCAAAGACGCACAAAATCATTTGCATTTAATATGGGGGACAGAAACAAAGACATTGGACTTCAGCTAACTGCTTTACATGCCCTTCTATCATGTAAAAATCTTTTTTGTGTTAAATGTATGGGGTACATAAATCTTCTGTATGTACATTACAAAATGTATTTTCAGTCAGGTCTGCACAACTTGGAGTGTCCAGCCAAGTCTAGCCTTCCAGGATTTTAGACATGTGGGCATGGCCCGGCTGTTTGTCCAATTTCATTAATCAAGTCTACTCTTTAATTATTGTTTAATAATCCATCAGAAAGAAATTTTGCCGTTGCCAGCTGCAGGGAAGCTCTTCTATAGCTGAGCCTACAGTAGCTACAAAAGTATAAAGCTATAGGTCAGGTGGGAATACAAGAGCTTCAGCAGCACACTCGGCATCGTCCTCTTCGTCTTCCTCTGGAATATTCTCTGGCTCCCATGTAAAGATATCTGACGCATTGTCAGTGAATGAGCCAGATGTGCTCCTTAACATCTCCCAAGGGCACAGAGCATCTCGCCTGCCCAGGGCTAAGTTTGCCTTAGACTCATCTGTTTGCTCAGGGCTTGTGTCTGCTGGAGTTCCTTCGACACTAAGGCAGCTCTGACTTTCTATGACATCCTTGTCACTGTTGGGAATATCATTTTTGTCTTCACCTGCTCCAGTGATACTTTTCTTTTGGACGGTTTCATCAGTTTCCCACGGACAAACATTTGCCAGAGCACTATCTTGTTTTTGGAGAATGTTTGGTTCTTCTGTCTCCCATGGACAAACATCTGTCCGAGTGCTATCTTGTTTTTGGAGAATGTTTGGTTCTTCTGTCTCCCATGGACAAACATCTGTCCGAGTGCTATCTTGTTTTTTCAGAACTTTTGGTTCTTCAGTCTCCCACGGACAAACATTTGCCAGAGCACTATCTTGTATTTGGAGAATGTTTGGTTCTTCTGTCTCCCATGGACAAACATCTGTCTGAGTGCTATCTTGTTTTTTAAGAACTTCTGGTTGTTCAGTCTCCCACGGACAAACATTTTCTTTAATGCTATCGTTCTTTTTGGCAGCCATAGTGTCTTCAGTCTCCCACGGACAAACATTTGCCAGAGCGCTACCTTGTATTTTCAGAACTTTTGATTCTTCAGTCTCCCATGGACAAACATCTGCTTTTGTGCTGTCTTGCTTTTTCAGAACTTTGGGGGTTTCTGTTTTCAGTGGACAAACATTTTCCTGGGAAATGCCCTTCCTTTGTAGTTTTTCAGATGCGTTTGATACTTCAGTTTTAACTGTCCCTGCTTCACCTGTTTCCCATGGACAAACATTTGCTCGAGCGGTGCTCTCTGATATTTTGGGGATCTCTGGCTTTCCTGATTCTGGTTCCTCTATTTCCCATGGACAAACCTCTGCTGGCTTTTTAAGTTCTTGAGACATTGTTTTGGTCGCTGCAGTTTTTTCAGGTAGTGCTGTTTCCCAGGGGCATACATTAACTCTTGTGCTGTCTTTTCCATCAGTATGTTCTGAAGTAGCTTTCAAAAGTGAGGTATCTATTTCTAAATCTTCTGGATTGTCTTGTTCACTTTCCCAGGGACAAATATGTACCTTTATTGTCATTTGTGGAGTTGATTCTGTAATTGTCTGCTCCGTGTTACTGCCTTCCCATGGGCAAATATTTTCCTTGATTGTCGGGGGATCAGGGAAATCCCATGGAGAGCTTGCTGCTGCTTTGTTTATGTGTTTACCCCAGTTTGAGGCAGGTGATATTGCATGGTAATGTTGCTCATTACTTGATGCACCAGGATAGATTGCAGCTTTCATGACCTCTCGCTGAAGGGGCACTGTCAGTGTTCCCCTGTTTTCTAAAGGATTTAAATTTTCGTATACACCTTCAACCTTGTCCTGCATATCCCACGGACAAACATTAGCGTATTCATTAGTTTGTATTACTGAAGGCTGGGGAGACTCTGAAGTCTCCCAGGGACATATGTTTAATATGCCTTTTAAAGGCTGCTGTGCCTGTAAATCTTTAGAAAGGATAGTGTGAGAAACAACTGGAATATCCTGAGATTCCAAAGGACCCACTTCTCCATGACCACTTCCTCGTCTTCTCATGTTCGCTTGCTCTTGAGATTCCCAAGGACATACGTTAGATCGTTCAGATACCTGTGATTCCCAAGGGCAGACATCTGCTTTGATGCTCTGCTGCTTCTTTGGTCCCTCTCCACTAGCGATATCCCATGAACATACATCTGTATGAGGAACATTACGGGTTGGAGTAATTCGATAACTACCTCTTCTGTGAGTTGAAGGGGTTCTGGAGCTGCTTATAGAACTTATACTACTACGTTTACTACTCTGCCTTGACAAAAGCACGTGTTCATATGTCCCATCTTTTTGCATATCTTCTGAATCACATGGATGGATAGAAGATTTTACAATTACAAGCCTTCGTGGGCTTCTGTCAGAGGAATCCCCAGAAGAGAGTCTGACTGCATTCTGCTTAACAAGACATGGTTTTCCATCTGCTGTTGTCATGCTTCTTTTCTGGAGTGACCTCTTTTCAATGCTAGGATGTCTTGATGTTCCTGACCTTGGTGTTGTTGAAGCACTTTCCTGACTTTTTTGCGAAATAGAATCTTCTCTATTTAAGCTTCCATCCTTGCTGGACCTGCTAGCTGCATCAATTGATCCCATCAATGTTTTCACAGTCAGCCACTTAGCGGTTGTAGTGGTGCGGAAAGAGAAAACACGCTGATCCTTCGCAATCTTTGGTCTTGGAGAACCAGGTGCACTTGTAGACATGGTAGACTTGGGGGACTCGGTTTCACCTTGTAGGCCTTTGTCCACAGAAGACTTCTTTTCTACAGGTGGCAAATGGTCCCAAGGACAGATAAGTGCAATTGGAGATGGTGGCCTTTTTTCCTCATCATCCCCAGAGTTTGCATATGTGACATGCTTCTGGTTCTTGTCACTTGACTGTTCTGGCTCCACCTCCCAAGGGCAGATTTCAGCCTTGTCAAATGACTCAGATTTGAGAGCACTCCTGGTCTGGTCACTTATAGAAAGGCTTGGCCTCGACCTCACTGTGTTGGCTCTGTTAACCTTGGGTATATTCTCCATAGAATGGCTGGTAGTTGAGGTTAGGCTCCAAGATTTATGAAGTCTGTTGTGATCAGGATGCAAGAGATTGGTATCAATCGTCAGATTCTGGGCACTGGCTGACTTACAGACCCCTGGTGGTATATCCAAGGAGTCTGTCTCAGATCGCTGTGAGGATCTCTTCACAGTATTGGCCCTTAATGTGGAGGTGTGCAAAGACTCTCGTTCCCTGACATAGTGATGATCACTTTGCGACTTACGCATGGATGGTGATGGTGATAGAGATGCTGACTTCATTGAACTTCTGTAACTGATACTGACCGTCTCTGTAGACCTTCTAAAAGAGTCAGAATGATTCCCACTTCTACTGCGGAAGGATCCATCTTTCTCCTCACGGCTGCACTGGCGGCTCATCGTTTCTGGGATTTCAGCTATGCGTTTTATAAGGGATCTCCCCAGTGCACATCGAGAGCTTCGTTTTTTAGGTAGATGAGGGTTGTTTGCAGCCATCTTCTTCGTCTTGTGGACTTCTAACTGGGCATATAATTTCTTCAGTTCATCCTGATGCATATGAAGAAAGGAGGGAATTGATGAGATAGAGGTTGAAATGATTGAGAAGAGGAAAAGACAAGGAGAGTCAGGATAGGTAAAGAGTTTTCAAGTATGAAGAACACAGTTCAGGTTAAAGCAAAGGATTGAAGGGTGGAGAAAGTTCATAGAAATTTGTTCAGTCTACAGTTAACTGTATTTACTGTTACTTTATGATTTCATTTATAACATATTTACCATTTGTTTATTGAATCTACATATAAACATAATTAAAATTAAGGGATAATTATTTTTTCTTTTTTAAATGTAGCCTTTGGAATTTCTTCCATATTATGTGCATTATGCCCTACTGCAAAGTGATAACATCGTTCTGTGGGGACAACAGTGTTTACCCGAAAGTCATCAGGGTCCACACTGTGCTCACTCCATGCAGAGTGAAAACTGCTGTTGAGGTAGGAGCCAGAGCGCCGCAGGTCAACTTCATCTTCATACACCTCTGCTGCAATCTCCTCTCTCCCAGGTTTGGATACATAAAGGAACTGTGGAACACATAGGAGAGAAGCACATGTAAGATAACTGGTCTTGACTCAACATAGTCCATAAGTAATAATTACACATACAGAAAGAAGTCTTGAACATTGTTTAACTAGAAGGACTGATTGGAAGGCTTTCCACTTCAGTTGAATTCTACTTCATTTATATAGCACCATATCATAACAACAGTCACCTCTATGTGTTTTATATTGTAAGGTAAAGAAGCTACAATAATAAAGAGGAAACCCCAACAATCAGACGAACTCCTATGAGTAAGCACTTGGCAACAGCGGTGAGTTCCACCAACATTTTATGATATCTAAGTAAATGTAGCATGTTAGCTTAATACATATTAGCATTTAGCATACATTAGCATACTGGCTGGCTTTCAAGCAGAACTAGACCATGCTGAGTTAGCGGTTATCGTTAGCATTATATAACGAGGTCTTATATTTAACATAAAGTCGAGTTACATGCTTAAAGTAGTTAAAGATAAAGCTAACAAGTTTGAGAATACTGTGAGATATCATTTAGATTTTTACAGCATGTCATCCAATCAGAAAATAAGTGGTTTGAGTCCCAGCTACTCTGAATGTTGAAATATCCATGGGCAAGATACAGAACACAGGGTTATCCCTGATGCATCCATGTGAGTGTGTATGTGACTGTTAGACAATATATTAATGTGTGTGAATGAGGCTTGTAGTAAAATTTTTTTTTTTGCCAAGGGCAGTAGAAAAGCGCTAATCCATTTTCCATGACTTTTTTTCTATTCTTACTAGTGCTGTCAGCGTAAATCTCGTTAAAATGACGTTAACGCGGCAAATCTCCGTTAGCGAGTTAACGCGGATCACCCCGTGCACGGGGCTGCATGGCGCTAACGTGTTAACCAGCTAACCGCGCTAACGCATTGACACAGTGCAGCCCCACGCACAGGGCGGTCTGCGTTAACGAGGTTATGGTGTAACGTCATTTCAATGAGATTAACGCTGACTGCACTAATTCTTACTGTATAATTAGTCTACTGTGGCACTATGGACATAAAAATGTGGAATACCTTGGGAACAAAGAGCAGGGCGAGTGTCACAGTGATGGTGACATGGGTGTGTGTGAAGGAGAGCAGAAGCATCCAATCAGGATGAAGAGATGGAAAGGTAAATCTGTGGGAAGCAGAAAATATAGAATCATCCCACGTCAACGTGTGTTGGCTTTCTATTTCGTATGGTACACAGACATATTGTTAAGCATGTGATGGGCTTTACTGCCTTTCTTTTCAGACACATTGACCTTAGTGGTCTTGGTTACTGTTTACCGGAACAGGTGGAACAGAGAGGAGAGAAGCAGCTCATTGTGGATGGCGATGCCCATGTAACGAGGTTCATGGAAAGCTGAGGGTACTGGCCTTACAGCAGTCCACAGTGAACTCCCCCAGCACAGGAACAGAAGCTCAGCTGTAGCAGAAGACTTTATAATCACTTGGATGTTCAAGAATACACAGTACAAATGTTGAAACTGGTTTTACTTCACTCTAACAGTAGTTTTGTGGTGCTTTATGTTGTGCGCTAAAGCTCTTAATACTGGTGACAACTTAAATACCTTTCTTGAATGCAATTCAAAGAAGTCTCATTTAAGCTTATTCAACAGTGAAATTATTTTTTAAGATATATTCTGGTTTCTTATAATTTAATGGCCAGCTATTTACTGATGTATACTTTTTTATTTTTACCTAGAACTTAAGTTGTCAAGATAATTCCAGTGAATTGCTGACAAAGTGATCCTGTGTGCCCCACTGGATTTTATTGTACCAACGCTGCCTTCTACTTTGTTGGCTAATTTATTGCTTTAAGGAATAAGTGTAAAAATGGACTTGTAATGAACTATAATAATAAAGTTGTAAACTTGCCCATAGGTGTGAATGTGAGTTCGAATGCTTGTCTGTCACTATGTGTTGGCCCTGTGATAGACTGGTGACCTGTCCAGGGTGTACCCCGCCTCTCGCCCAATGACAGCTGGGTTAGGCTCTAGCCTGATTATGATGATGACACATCTAAAGTAGTATTTACTGAATTCTTAGACCTAAAATGAATCAGATTATCTTTATTATGTCCTTATGCATAAAGACTTAGAGGTGAAAGAGGTTTTACTTTCTTTTTATCATAACTGTAAATAGATATAGACATAGGTACACTTTGAGATTTAATAGAATCACTGTAACAGCTACTGTATGTTTAATGATGCTGTTGATACTCTTAACAGGTTCTTTACATGTAGTTTACTTACCTACAGCCATCATGTAGTCCCAGCGGTCAAGGTAACACATGTTGAAGCCCTGTCCATCAGGTGTGTTGGTTGTGATGAAGACTGGAATGTTTCTGTCACGATTCTGCATAACACCCACCGTCCATGCACACAGGAACCAGCTGACTGTCATCAGCATCACTCCCAGAATTCTCAGTAAATGGAGGCTGGACATGTAGGGCATTCTCTGGGCTGTGCGTGACAGGAACACCTTCAGTACTCTGGTCCAAAACAAGAGCAGTATTGGCCCTTAATGTGGAGTATTTGGGTACTAAAGACAAACTGGTGCAACTTGTAGTAAACAGTAAAGTCAGTGACTGAGTGTTGAATTTGATGTCACTTCAATATGAAGTTTCTTGAGAGATGTCTTTGCCTGGAGAGACTTTTAATATCAGTGGAATTAGGCTCAAAGCAAGTAATGTAAGTTAGACAAAAATCCACAGAATAATTTTTGCTCTCCACGATAATTGCAGATTTATACAAGCTGGGGAGATCTCTGGGAGCTATTTCTAAACAACTGCAGATTTCAAGATCATCAGTTCAAACAACTGTAGATAGGGTGTTCAAATCTCCAGCCAAAGTTATTCCAGAAACTTGTTGATGGCTATCAAAAGATCCAGGATCACGGTGCAACTTGAAACCTGCCAAGTGACGTTTAACCAAATATTAGTGTGAGTGTATTTATACATTTAGCTTATACGTAGACCTTTGTGGATTTGAGAAAATCCCCAATAAATCACTCAATGTTTATTTGAAAGGACAGAAATCAGAAACAAAGTCTTCCCATTTATGGTACACTCTGGGTGTACAAGTTAGCAAACTTTAGCTGATAAGTATACGCATATAAATTCAAGAGGAACATGCTCTTTCCCCCCATAAAATTACACAGTCTTAAAGGCAAGTGGTTTAACTTAGTTTTGAAATGAATCATTTTATAGTCTCTTTATAATATAGTTTTGTTTGCTAAAAAGCAAAACAAAGCAGACATCTATTGTCCTCCCAGTACTCCAAAAACTCAATTAACTTTTCAATTTTAAATAATAAATAAAAATACTATGTTATGTGGAAACCATCGTATACAAGTTGCTCTTTGACCACAAATAGTGTCTGTATCAAAACATATTAAATATATGACAAATATGATCAATTTCATATTATTTGATATGAGATTTATATTTGTAGATACTCACTGAACCCAAATGTTATTTAATTATAACTGAATGCAGTTGTGGATTTATTAGTAGGCCTAATTTCCTTCCAGCTCACTCAGAAAAAGATCATACAAAATATCTTCCAGTAAAATAAACTAAATATTTTACAGTAAAGTTCATGTATTTTTCAAGAAATTGAGCATTTATTCAAAGCCATTAACCACTGTGCTATGATGTTTAAGGAGAAGGTATTAAACAGAAGCACTTAATTTTAACTACATTAAATGTTAGTATCGACTACTCTCAGTGCTAACCTACCTGTACATCTTAAGTGTGACTGTGCCGTAGACAATGGAGAAACCAAGCATTCGCACCCAGCGGAGCAGGATGCACCTGAAGGTGCTTGGCCTGAAGTACATGATAAAGACCTGCAGAGACAAAGAAAGAAATGCTTAGTGAAAGAAAAACTACAGCTATACACGACCAACCAACAGTTTCTATTGGTGTATAGATAGTTGGCGCAACCAGTTATTAGGTTTAGGGGGCGATCACTTTTTCACCATGTAGGTTTTGGATTTCTTTCCCCTTAAAAATAAACGCCTTCATTTAGAAACTGCATTTTGTGTTTACTTGTCTTATTTTTGTCTAATATGCAATTTTGTTTGATAATCTAACAGATTTAAGTGTGACAAACTTATCAAAAAATAGGAGGTAAACACACCACTGTATGTACATTACCAGTTAAAAGTTTGGACACACCTTCTCATTTAATGGTTTTTCTTTATTTTTTTAATACTTTCTACATTGACAAACTGAAGACATTGGACATATGAAGCAAGATATATGGAATTATGTAGCAAAGAAAAAATTGATAAATAACTCTAAATATCTCTTATATTTCAGATTCGTGAAAGTAGCCACCCTTTGCTTTGCTGACAGCGCTGCAAATCCTTGGCCTTCTCTCAGTGAGCTTCATGATGTCGTCACCTGAACAGGTTTTCACTTCACATGTGTGCCTTGTCAGGGTTCATTTGTGAAATTTCATGCCTTCTTAAAGGAGTTGGGACCATCAGTTGTGTTGTGCAAAAGTCAGGTTGGTACACAGCTGACAGCCCTATTTGACAACTGTTAGAATTCATATTATGGAAAGAACCAGTCAGCTAATTAAAGCGAAACAACAGTCCACGATTACTTTAAGAACTGAAGGTCAGTCAGTCCACAAAATTGCTAAAACTTTGAGTTCCCCAAACATGCTTCCAGACTGTGTAAGGGCCATTTGACCAACACGGAGAGTGATGGAGTGCTGCCCCAGATGGCCTGGCCTCCACAGTCACCTGACCTAAACCCATTCAAGATAGTTTGGGATGAGATAGACTTCAGAGTGAAAGCAAAAGGGCTAGCAAGTGCTCAGCATCTCTGGGAACTCCTTCAAGACTGTTGGGAAACCATTTCAGGTGCCGACCTCATCAAGCTCATTGATGGAAGGCCAAGAGTGTGCAAAGCAGTAATCAAAACAAAGGGTGGCTATTTTGATCTAATCAAATTTCAAACACGTTTTGAGTTGTTTCACACTTCACACTGTTTATTACATAATTCCATATGTGTTCATTCATAGTTTTGAAGTCTTCTATGATGTAAATAATCATGAAAATAAAGAAAAACCCTTCAATGACAATGTGTGTCCAAAGGTTTGACTGGTAGTGTATACATACACACACCACATCTGTTTTTACTGATGCCTCTGCTGACCGTATAAGCGCACATCACGCCTGACTGTAATCACTTTGCTGTGATGGTAGCATGAGCAAAACAGTGTCAGCCACTCAGGATAAGAGCATAATCTATATCTTGTGATAATGTAAATGCAAACATACATCACTGTGTTCAAACTGCTTATACAGAATAAACTGTTTAGAGTGACAACTTATGGAACAAAAGTCATGGCAGGAAGGCCCGTTTAATCAGTATAAATGGCCAGCACACAAACACAGATTGGGGTCTCTGTTATAGATGGAGCTGCACAGCAGAAAGAAATAATGTGATTGGTCAACCCAAAGATATAGTGCAGTGAGTAAGCTGAGCAAAATAAAACAATCAATGACAGAATAAATGAATCAATGCAATAATCCAGTAACTCCAGTGATTATTTATTGGGAACCTGTGTTCGCCAGTGCAGATTTGCATCATGGGGCTCTAAACCAAGCTCTCCTCTGATCTGACATTGTCTTTATTAACTATATACTCAAAAACCGACTTTAAAGCTGAGGCTAAAAATGAGAACACAGATATCCTGATGTCTTCTAGATGCCAGTGATATCCAATAATAAAGCTCAAATCCTCCTCAATAAAACCAGTTCAGTTCATTAATATAAAAATAAAGCTGCTGTTCTTATGAAGCTGAACTAATGAGTGCAGAGGGACAACAGTTGTTGTTCTCTAAAAAGTAGTTACTAAGTAGCCAAAAGGTACCTACTACTACAGGTGCTACTACACCGAGACACTCATATTGATCTTTTTTTTGTTGACATTAGAAAATCCTGCTACGTTAACGGGTCATGGTGGATTTCAAAACCAGCTTGAGTATGTTGGTGGGATGGTCAACAACCTTCCTTCATGCAGGGGATTTATTTGTAGATGAAATGGCAACTTTACTTCAGCGACACCCCAGTGAGATGACAGACCGAACTCTGACCTTTCATCTGGGGCTTTCAGAACTACAGTCAGCTATGTGGGCTGCAGGTCACCTTTGAATTAAAAAAAAGAACCCTCACACAACATGATCCCAAATATTTGCTCATTTCCAGTCTTGCTTCCACCTCTTACGTCACCACAGCAGGTTTTAGATCTTTAATTTCATAACTGAAATATATCCTGTATTCATGTTTGTATATTCTTGCCTTCCATGCTTTCATCTGCATCATCATTTTGTATAGTTCTACACAAAATGAACTGACACATGTATCTCTGCATTTACATTTCTTTTTCTTCTTTCAGCTGCTCCCTTTAAGGGTTGCAACTGCAGATCATCTGCCTCTATTACATTAAATCTACATTTACATTTACAAGTACTTATTCACGTAAATTGACATTTATGATATTTGCATTTATTACTGGCATTGTTATTATTATTTAGCTCTTAAATGGATACCAAATATACCTGCAGGCTGCTATCTGAATAAAGGTGAGATGACTTGACTATATTTTAGTTTGCTCATCATCGATAGGTTTGAATGACATGTGGGAGGGGCTTCTGTATTTGCAGAGTTCGCCCTTCTTATTGACATCACACAGAGCCAAGAGTCCTGAATCCTGAGCTTTTTGTTTGCATGGATTACTTGTAAGATGACTCTGTTTCACAGAAGCACCTACCACTGTAACAGCATATATAACATAATAGGTCCACTTAACTGTGTGTGCAAAACACTGCAATCCACTACACATCTTACTTTTGGATAGCAGATTCAATAAATCTTAAAAATGAATGCATCCTATATATTATACTGTAAAAAAAATAGCTTTGAAGATCATCACTTAAATATTCTTCAAATGTTAAAGTCAGCATTTTGTTTTGTTTTTTAAGCTGTCCTGCCTACAGCTTTAACAAGCTGCATATGATCTGCACCCACATTTACTTTGCCAAGAGGAGCTCTATAAACTCTCTATAGGCTCATCTTGATATCCAGTTTCTTTTTATTTTATCCTTTTTATTTTTTTTAAGAGTTTGCATGCTCTTCCTGTGTTTGTGTGGGCTCGCTTCCTCCCACAGTCCAAAGACATGCAGTTAGTGGGGTCAGGATAGCTGGTGAATCTAAATTGCCCATGGGTATGAATGTAAGTGTGAATAGTTGTCTGTCTCTTTGTATTAGCCCTGCGACTTTACAGAATTGCCATGACCCCAGGAAGCAGCCAGCCGAAAGAAGCCGGTCACCCAGTCCAGAGCCAGCACCCGCAACTGCAAGCACCCTGGACCCCACACTTCAAGAATGCAGGGCAGCAATGCTACCCCACCATCTCACCACACCTCAGCTAAAGCTTGGCCTCTTCCAAATCAAAGGCCAAGAAAAGTCCTGTTTCAGTATTAGGATCGTCTCATGTCTCATGATCATCCATCCGTTGCGGGGACAGCAGCCTAAGCAGAGAAGCCCAGACCTCCCTCTTCCCAGCCTTCTCCTTCACCTTGTCCGGGGGAACAACAAGGCAATCCCAGGCCAGCCAAGGGATATAATTTCTCCAGCGTGTCATGAGTCATCTCATCCTTGTCAGATGCTCGATCCACCTCAACTGGCTCCTTTCAATGTGGAGGAGCAGCGGCTCTACTCTGAGCCCCTCCCAGATGGCCGAACTATCCCTATCTCTGTTGGAGAGGCCAGCCACCCTTCAGAGAAAGCTCATTTCCGCCGCTCGTATCCACACGTATTATATGATCATGTTTCTTTTTACATATACAATCTAATGCAACCACCAAATACAAAGCACCTTATGAAGTGAATAATTGCTCTATTATACTCTCAAAATCCATTAACATGTTGACACACTCGACATTAAACTAAATCATCTGTAATGCGGAGCACAGGACCAGCTCTGCACACACTAAATCACTCTGTAGATCAAATTGACTGACACTTTCAGATGGATTAAAAGAAAAAAATCACATCCGGGTTATGTTAACGCCTCTTTAATTGGTAAAATGAATCTAAAGATTGATTGATAATCTATGACCGGAGCTGAGGGAGGTTATGAAATGTGCCGACGATGAACACGCCCTGGCATTTCTCATACACGCCCTCAACCCATTCACCCTCCCTACAAATCGTCCATTGTCACATAATCTAAGATATGGAGCTGTGCAGTGATCCGTGAAGAGCTCTAATCTGTGGGGCTCTCAGTCGGCTGGCTCGGTCAGAAACTCACCGGGAAGTAGAGGAGCAGGGAGCCGAACAAGATTGTCTCCAGCAGCAGCAGGCCAGAAGCCCGGATCCGCTGCGGGTGGAGGAGGAGAGGAACAGCTATTATGAGAAATTGTTGCAAACAGCACTACAGAATATAACACACATTAATGTAATGTGGATTATGCTACTACTACTGCTGCTGCATCTGCGGTTGATTTTATGATTAGGATTAATTATCAGACTAAAAGTTTCATACAATAAGATGATGAATAAAAACTGGATTGATTTTTTTAACAGAATGTATTTGGCTCAGCAGTCACCGTCAACCTTCCATCTAAACATGATCTATATGGTGGCCTTGCTAAGCCAAAAGATGTGACTCACCCGGTTGCGACGATGCCGGTAGGCCACCAGCATGCTGATGAAAATGAGGAGCATGAAGACCCCCTGGATGGCGAGCACACCAGACCTAAGAAGCCAGTCCTCCTGCACCCAGCATGGGGTACCGTCCTGGCAGCTCTTACAGCCCGGCCAGCAGGGGAGACAGATGGGCATGTTCGGGTAACACATACCATTGCTGTCACTCTCATTCACAGGGGCTCTATCTGCATCGCATACAGACACACACATCTATTCAACCTACACAAAACCATGGCAAAACCTCATATACATGCGACCTCCACAAGGAGCTTAAAACAGTATGTTAAAGGTTTGCATAGATTGGGTCTAAATGATTCATCTTAATTTTGAAATAATCTTTTTTAGTTTTGAATTTTGACTTTGAAAGATCTGGTTTAATAATTAGCACAATTCCTGTTGTTGTAGATGGTCCAAAACCAATGGGTGCTGTCATGGTGGCTGCATCTATGATTTAAACAGTCTGACTACTATGAAAACCAGCCTAAAGAGACCTGGTAGCCTGCTGCCTTTGCAGATGCTTGAAAAGAGTTAATTTGTTAGCAGCAGTGGATAGTTGATCGTCGCCTGGGCACAGTTTGCACTTTACCATCACTTTCTTGTTCTTTGATGCAAAACAAATAAAAGTAATGTCCATA